TAAAAAAAAAAAAAGGGGGAGAGAGGGACCAGCAGTTAGCGTAATGGCTATGTCGCTGGACTCCCATGTGGCCGACCGCGGTTCGCATCCCGGACCCGGTGGCTTAAAATTCATGCCGGGCACATGTGCATGCGTCCTCAAGATCCCCAGAGAACAATGGAGGAGAAGGGATTGCAGCGTGACCATCCCCCCTGGGGGGTGATTTCTCGCTTTCTGTCTCTCTGTCTCTGTCTGTCTGGCGAGCGCACGCGCCCTATTGCAAAAACCTCTCAAAAAACAAAAACAAAAACAAAAAAAACTGGAACATTGGGGGACGAGCAGTTGGCGTAATGGCTATGTCGCTGGACTCCCATGTAGTTGACTGTGGTTTGAATCCCGGACCCAGTGGCTTAAACTCGCGCTGGGCGTGTGTGCGTGCATGCCCAAGATCCCAAGAGGAAAATGGAGGAGAAGGGATTGCGGTGTGGCCATCCTCCCTGGAGGGTGATTTCTCGCTTTCTGTTTCTCTGTCTCTGTCTTTCTGGCGAGCACATGTGCCCTATAGAAACCCCCTTCCCCCCCAAAAAAAGGTTGAACATTGGGGTCAGCAAGTGGCGTAGAGGTTAAGGCTGATGGATTTTACATGGCCAACTGTGTGGTTTGAGTCCTGGACCAAGTGGCTTGAAAAACACACAGGGCATGTGCGTTTGCATGCCCAAAATCTGAAGAAAAGAACGGGGAAGGAATGGGGGATGCTTTCTCAGTTTCCATCCCTCACTCTCCAGTGAGTGCACGAACCTTATTCCAAGCAAACAAACAAATAAAAATCTCCAAAATTTGCAGTTAAAGTACATAAGACTGAAACATCATGCCAGGCGTGTATGTGTCTGCATGTGTCCCAAAATCCTGAGAGGAGACTGGAAAGAGAAGGGACTGTAGTGTGGCCATCCCCTCTGGGGGGTGATATTTCACTTTCTCTGTCTCACTCCAGCTAGCACAGACTGATGGCAAAAAATCATTAAAAAAAAGAAAAAAAGAAAAGAAAAAGTGGAGTAAACAAGTACTGTATATATATTTTAAAAGAATTATTTAACTTTATTTATTTATTTATTCATTTGTTTTTTTCAATTTGACCAGAGAGGGAA